CTGTCTGTCTGTCTGTCTGTCTGCATACTGGACCTCATGTTATTCTTAGAGGCTGAAGGTTTCCTTGTTTCACACTTCTCCAAAAAAGGTGAAACTTCTGCAGTCTCTTTCTTTTTAGAAATGGTAAATGGCCTGTACTTATATATCACTTTTTTAAGTCAGGAGACTTGACCAAAGCACTTTACACTACATTTAGTCATTCACCCACTCACACACACACTCTCGGTGGCAAGCTACACTGTGGCCACAGCTGCCTTGGGGCTCACTGACAGAAGCGGGGCTACGGTACACTGGCACCACCGGGCCCTGTGACCACCATCAGTAGACAATGCAGGTGAAGTGTCTTGCCCAAGGATACAACGACACCGGAAGCCAGAGCAAGGCCTTGAACCTTCAATCCTTCCATTTCAGGGCAAACTCCTACACCCCACGTCACCTTCACCCGATAAATGCTTGCACCTTTACAATGGCAGACAGCATTCAATTGGTCCCTCATGGCAAATGACGGCTTTTGGAGACTGCTTCTTTCATGGGCATTTTGATGATGTTTTCATATATTTTTCTTTGTGAAACCCTCAAATAGATCTTTCAGTCTCACTTTGGTTTTCTATTTCACTTTAAAAGACGGAGAGGTTAAATAGGACAAACTTTTTTTTGAAGTGTTGAGAAGCTTTTTCTAATCGCATGCACCAGCAAAGGGATACACAATAACTATTTGAGTGAGAATCAATGTGGATGTTATAATTAACTCTTGATCAGAAACTGTTATTTATACTGTAAAGAAGTGTTTTTGTTTTCAGTTGTTTCTTTATAGTACGTTCATTTTTCAATGTTGTTATATTTTATAATTAACTGAGATTAAATATGGAGAAATGCAGTAGGAAAAGATAAAGTAACCCTAATTTAAACAAAAGACTCTAAAGACAATGTCTTTTAAATACTTTTTTAAAAATGGCATCATAAATTTCACAGGGAAAACAAAATTAACCTTAACATTTACGTTCTACAAAAGGGCAAATCTACTTGTTATGTCTGATTTTCTTTTTAAGCTGCGAGAGGCAGACAACTGTAGCTCAATTCATTTTGACTTTTGTTAGAATGATGTTTATCAGTGGTTGTGTTGCTTAATAGTATGTGGCTTTATTCTAAATAAACTTTACCTCCTTTTGAAAATATATCTGTGAAAGATCAAACAATATAAGTGATCAATGACTGGCTATGCAGCCCTCAGCCATATTTTTGTTTTGAATTTAGTCTCTAAGTGTTCTCCTCAACACCTAACTGTGCAAACAACACGGCTGCATGTGCAATACTTGGACAAACGAATGCACACACACACACATCCAAACACCTCAAAGGAAAATTGATTGACTATTCGGTCTCAATACATCTCCCTTTCTGTTACTTAGCAACCAGAGCCTAGGAGGATATGGATGCTGGAGAAGTTAGACTTCTCTGCATTTTGCATTGATGAAGACATATGAGTAATGAGAATGGCGTGCCGACTGTGATTTAAACTGCTCTCAAATTTACAAAAAATAAAATAAAATTCAGTTAGATATAGTGCAAACTCAGTTGTAATAAAAACAACAAATTTTCTTTTGTGTTTTTTAGCAGAGGAAAAAAGGTTTAGAGAAAAAAATCATTTAAATTATGACCAAGAACAGATGGATACGCTTTATGAAAGTATACACTAGCAGATATAGCTCATAGTGATATAAAAGATATACATAAAGGCAATTATTGTTTTTATCATTTTATTTGTTTCATTTTGCTGCTATAATTTTCTAGTTGTAGCTGAATTCATATCAGATAAAACTAGCTTAAACTTCCACTATTGCAAATTAAGCATGCTTCCAAAAGTAGGCAGACAACAAAGATAATACTGTCATAAAACATATTAAACATTTTTCTGTTAATAGAGAGTCAATACAGAAATTTGGTAAACAGCAAGCTGACAGTGTTACAACATGTACAGTAGGAGCCTCGACTTTGCACTAAAAGCAAAAGGAGTAATTCTAAAAAAAAAATAAAAAAAAGTGACCCATATATCCACTTAATATGGCAATAGCTGCTAACATACTCATATATATATATTTTTTATTATAAACATTATATATTTGCTGAATTTTAAAGATATATGTTGAGTACCTGAAATGTTTAGAAAAATATCAAATGTTAAGACTTTTGTGACACAATGATTTCTTACTGATTTTTATTCTGAGCAGAACATGGAGGTACAAACGGTACTAATTTAGATATTTTTAAAATATTTAGAAACACAAGCAACACAAATTACAGCCGAGATCAATGAACACAAAATAAATAAATCATTCAAATCTTAACATAAAATGTTAAAGCAATGATTCTTCTTTGGTTCCCTAAAGTAATTTTAAACGTCAAAGTCAAACTCATGTTTCTAATAAACTAATAAATTCTAATAGATTTTCATTTAAGAAAATAATTTTTTAAGTAAAAGTATTTAAACAGTTTTGTTAAAAAATAAACATAAACAGAACATTTCTTATTCCAACCAGCATTTTATCTTTTTTTTTTTTTTTTTTTAGCTTTCTAAATTTTCATTTCATTTCCAAAGTTTCTTAACTGTGTAAAAGATTTCCTTTACCTAGTTGTCTTCTTTAACAGTGAGAGTTAAATATCTTTTCTATTGCAGCCCTTCAATTACAAAAATTACAGTGAGGGAAAAACACCAATTAGACTAATATTCTAATTTTAGTAACATGGACATAATGATGTATGCATCATTTAGAGCAAACCTAGCAAACAGTGAGTGCAACAATTTTTAGGTTATATTTTCCAAAAATGTCAATTATTACCACAGAAACAAAATTGCTGTGTATTTTTGTGGGGCTCTATGGTCACATATAATGCAATCCCGAAGCAGCTGACACAACAAACTTCTAAAAACAAAACTAATTGCCAGCACCTACAGTTTAAATCTGGCATTAAAAATGTGTGATAATTATAATATATAATAATAAATTTGTGATAATAACAGGAAGGCCTACTTTCCAAAATTAAATAGAATATGTTATAAAGGTGCAGATGAAACTGTAAGTCTTTATACCTCATTTCTGTTTTTTTTTTTTTTTCGTGTGTGTTTGTGCTTAAAATTGCAACAGTTAAAAAAAATTCAATTTAAGAATTTAAGGCCTGCAGAGATATTATTATCACCTTTAACGGGATCAGCAGGGAGTGAAGCCTTTAACGGCCTTCTGCTCTGCAGATAACAGAAAAACGCAGCTAACATTTATTTTTCCAGAATATTCCTGGTGTCCAACATCCATACAGGTCAAAACCTAACGGCTGAAACAATCCAACAGCAAAATGCCTCTTTGTTTAGGAAACAGCGGGCTGATCGAGGATCAATATATTGAATGATTCTGATCAATAGCTGAACTTTGAGGGGAAACAGCTTCCAGCTTTATGATAACCGGAAACAAATGTTTTGAATAGACATTCTTGTCATTTATAGGCCGAACAATAATCTTTTCTCTGCTGGACTGAATAAATAAAATAGTCGTTTCGATAAAATAACCAAAGTTTGGGCTTTGATTAATTAGTAATTCTCAAGGCGGGTATAAATCTTTATTAAAGCTATTAATTTTTTTAACTGCATTTCTAAAAAAGGCCGCCTAGATTTGTGCAACGGAATAAATAAAATCTGACACTGTTCAATGGCCTTTAAAAAATAAATAAATAGATAAAAAAAAAGCAAATGTACACTTAATCTATAAACTAACGTGAAACCTTTATGAGAAACTCGTATTTTCCCCCTTCACATCTTATATAGCCTATTCGTTTTCGACTGGCAGTTTATTACTCCGAAATATTGCACAAGAGAGCAATATTAAAAGCAATTAAAAAATATATTAAAAGAGGTTTAATGGCTTTGTATTTTTTTTTATTCTTTTCGTTTAAGATGGGCCAGTAAATGACGCGCTCACCAAACACAATCAACATTAAGAATAAACGGGCTGTGGATGAAAAAGGCGGATTTTCATGAATCATTGAACTCTTTGCTGTTTGCCTGTAAATCTAACAACTCGGCCATCTAATTGTTATTTCTGTTACTTTTATAGCTATTTTCATATTTGCAGGAATTAAAATTTCGGACCAGACTCGACAGTAGAGCAAAATATTTGTTTTTGTTCCTTTTGTTTTGATATTATTCTTTATTTTAAATAATCTACAAACCAAAAATATGGAGGAATTATATTCTAGAGATGGCTACGCAATTATTTTAAGGAAATTAAATTTCGCCCTGTTTTGTAAAAACTTTTACATAAGCCTAACTAGTTGGTACTCTTTCATTGGTCCTTATAGCAGAGTAGGGGATCCTAACTTTGTGACCTCCATCGCCCCCTCCCTCCCCCTCCCGCGCCCCTTCATTAATCTCTGTCAGTCAATACTTCGATCAGGTTTATCACTGAGCGCATAAATGCAAAACCATACAGTCCGTGGGAAAACAAAGTGATTCTGATAGGAATTCGAATAGAAATTTTATATAAAGGAAATAAAATAAAAAGTCGGTGGAAATGGTTATGGAGGAGATTGTGTTTGTGGGCAAAAACATATAATTGACGAAAGTAATTTTAAAATGATGTTATGATAAATATTACAATGGGAGCTCTTTATCGTGCTGAGAACTCTAAATATATATTTTATTGTTTCCCAGAATTGACAGCGCCGTGAGTCAGTTCGTTAGGAACTTCTGCTCGTGCCCGTGCTGCGTTATAAACCCACGGAGGCGCGCACCCTTCCCTCTGAAACAGTCCAAGTGCTTACGCTGTCGGACCACAGATGAGATCCAGACCAAGAAAGCTCCAAAGCACATGTTTGAGCGCACAGCCTACCGGTTCTGTGAACGACCAAACCTCTCTCCTAAAGGCTTAAATCGATTGGTGAATTTTTTTTTCGATGGATTTGTGTTCAAATGGATCGGTAATTTCATTTCTCCGGGAGGGTTAAGGGAAGGCAAGAGCGAACGCGAGTGAGAAGAACAGAGAGAGAGCGAGGTGAAGGTGGGAGGGTGGGAGAAGCGCACATTCGCTCCTTCAGCCATGGAGCTCACCATGGACAACTTACACAGCGTCTCATCGCATTCCCAGCCGGGGGACCTCATGAGCTCTCCGCACGCTCGACCGTCTCCGTCTCCAAGCTCCACACCCCGGAACCTGGTCTCACACGCTCCAGGTGGGAGACCGGCCATGGTATCCGGCATGGCCTCACTTCTGGAAGGGTCCGGCGGGGATTACCGGACGGACCCATCCGCCTTGTCGGGACACCTCCATTCATCCATCAGCATGTGTGAGACCGGGATGAGCCTTAGTAACACTTACACCACGCTGACCCCTCTGCAGCATCTACCTCCGATATCCACTGTGGCGGATAAGTTTCACCACCCGCATTCGCACCACCACCCTGCCGCCCACCAACGACTGTCCGCCGGGAACGTCAGCGGCAGCTTTACGCTGATGAGGGAGGACCACCGGGGACTGGCCTCCATGGGCAACTTATACAGTCACTACCCCAAAGAGATGTCTGTTGCCAGCATGGGTCATGGATCGCTGTCGCCGTTGTCCGGCGGGCTTGGATCTCTGCACAACTCCCAACAGTCGCTCTCCGCCTACGGTCCCAGCACGCACCTTTCCACCGAAACCAAGATGCTGTCGCCGGTGTCAGGGTTCGAGTCTCACGCCTCCATGCTATCTCGAAGCGACCAGGAGCACTTAGCCAGGAGTTTAGGGGGGCATGGCCACGGCTTAATCTCCAACCTAAACGGCATGCACCACCATCCGCACAGCCACCTTCACTCCCAGGCAAACGGTGCGGTGATGATGGATCGGGAGAGGCACGGTCATGTTGCCAGTCAGGGAGCGTCGGGGTCGGGGATCCAGGCAGAGGAAATCAACACGAAGGAGGTGGCTCAAAGGATAACGGCCGAGTTGAAGCGCTACTCTATTCCGCAGGCTATTTTTGCCCAACGGATCTTGAGCCGGTCGCAAGGCACCCTGTCGGACCTGCTGCGGAACCCCAAGCCCTGGAGTAAACTCAAGTCAGGCCGGGAGACGTTCAGGAGGATGTGGAAGTGGCTGCAGGAGCCTGAGTTTCAGCGGATGTCCGCTCTGCGGCTGGCCGGTGAGGCAGTCATTTCACTACATCCATCTTTCACATTCTACATTTTCAAACAACAGAGACATGACATTACAACCTTATTTTAAACAGACACACGGGTTGTTTGAAAGAGCCGCACATAAGCTAAAATATCCAGCACCACAGACAGCTCCATGGAGCCGCAGCTTTCGCAGAGAAAAAAAAAGCAATGGTCTTTTTACCTTCTTGTCATTTCATTCTTTTTTAGTTGATTCAGGCACATATGAAAAGTAAAAGTTGCAAAGGATTGATTTGGCCAATTACCATTTCGGACCCTTACAGTTTTTGTCTTTTTACCTCACTTTTCAGTTGTTTTTTTATTTTGTTCCTCGCTATACCTTTGTTATTTCAAAAGTTTCATATAAGACCTTTCATGTGGTACAGTCAGCTAAAAAAAGTTTTTTAAAGACCAGAGCGCTTGTCATTTCGTGCCTTAGTAGTTTTAGACGAAAATTATCAACTTTATTGAAGGCGGATTTAAAGGCGTCTTCTACAACTTCGTAGTCCGTCATACACGCCTAAATAAATATTTTTTTGGTGGATATGAGCCCATAAAAATAATCCATTCAGCACATTTCAGCTAATTGGATCAGGTCCCATTATCTGTCATATTTTTTAAGATTAAGTTTACTAAAATGATGGTCAAGAGAACCCTTAGAAATAGGGGAGATTTAAGACTTAAATATCTAAATATTTTAAAATTCTAAGGAAAAGTGAGCTGATATGTAATTGCTTCATTTGTTTGCAGGGATGAAATAAAGTGAGGGGGGAAATGGGGAAGGAAATGGTGAATGCTGGGGAATATCGGGTCGACTCGTTTTGAAACAGACATGAACATTTTGACTCCATATAAACCTAGTAGATCAGTTACCGGGCTGTGAAGGCTGACATTTAGACGCGCTGTTGTAAACTAAAATGTAATCCATATCTTTGATCGAAATATCTAATCCCAGGTGATTCACAATAACGAAGAAATGAATATACTCCCACGACGCCTGTTTCTCACCGCCAGGCGGTGGTGAGGCTACAGGGGCCAACTAGTTGCGCCGGCAGAAGCGGGGTGACCTCAGGCTGCCTGATCAATAAGCGAGTTCCCACTCTCCTTTTTAAATGTGGCACACCGATCAATACCCGTAACACAACTGAAAGACGTAATAACCATACGATCCTCTACTGCTTTTCAAATAGAAGTAACGTTAACAATCTAAGCTAAGTAAAGAGCAGGTGGATTAGGGTTTAGGTTGTTAAGGTGATTTTTTTATTGTATGGGGAAAGATGAAGTGCATGCATGGAGTGGGTTCAGGCAACCAATGCTGTAGACTGGATCAAGATTTGAGCATTTTCACCTAATCAATAATGAAAATCTCTTGAATCAAAATACATTAATGTGCAATTCATTTCTAATAATTAGGAAAATATCTTTACAGGGATGACTCTCTCTGCATCCCCTTTGGAAGGCGCCCTGACAAAATTCCTAATATTTTTAAACCAATCCAATCCCAACGTTGGCAACCTCCACAGATTTATGGCACCCTCCAACTGTATGTGTAGCCTGTTTTGATGAAATATTGATTGAAACTGGGAGTTGGAATCTGGAACATGGAATAGTATGAAGAAGAAAAACAAAACAAAACAGAATCCAGACCTTATTGAAGCAGAAACTCTTAAGGCGTGTAACATTTATTTTGGAACATGCTTTATTTGTCCACAAACTCCATGCTCTTATGAATAACGCCTAGATGATCGATTTATAGATAGATAGATAGATAGATAGATAGATAGATAGATAGATAGATAGATAGATAGATAGATAGATAGATAGATAGATAGATAGA